GCGTCCGCCGTCCTTCCATATTTCCGTACTGACGAAAATTCCCGCGCGTTTCCTTCCCTTCCCTTCGTCTCCACTCTGCTGCTTCCTTTCCATGCCAAACCTCTGCGAAACACCTACATTGCAACCCACCGCTGCCTTCCCTTTCTCCAATCCACCCAGCCGGTCCCAAACATCGCGTGGGGCGCCCTCGCGCAGGTCGTGGTGCGTACCTTCCCGGGCGCGGACAATCCAATTCCTGATTTCGCCCTTTCCCCCCCTTCTTTTTCTTTGGTTTTGCACAGAATATCGTCCCGATGATGATCATGGTGCGTGTGGGCATGACGAAGACCTACGAGGGGTCGGACACGCGCGGCGCGTACGCAATGGCGGGCACGACGCTGTACGGGGGGAGCAGCGCCAGCAGGACGCTATACCGCGGGAGCGACGCCGCGGACGCCACGATACCGCTGGCCTCGAACGCCAGCAGCATGGGCAAGAGCAGCGGGCAGTACTCGCGCTCGGAACTATCGTGATCAGGGGCCCGTCGTGTTTATTTGGGGGAGGCCCACCTGTATATACCCCGCTCCAAGATATAATTTGTATGTCGATCCCGCGCTAAATTATTCTTTAGAAGAAGATGTCCTTCCCACTGTGCCGCAGGAAAACGTATGCATGTTTGTTACCGCGGCCACGTGTGTCCTGGCGAGTATAAAGGAGGGCCATCTACTCGCAATCCCAACTTCCAAATGGCTGCTCTCCATTCGTTCTAATCTGCGTCCACAATGCCTGAGTTCTCTACCTGCCCATTCAACGTCGCGGATTCTTGCCACGCGAATTCTTCGGCGGTTATCGATTCTTCATCAGTTTACCCCTCGGGATCTTTTATTTCCCCCGCGTCGGATCGCGCGCGCGCCGTGCATCACCCAAATCTCATTTACGCTTTTCCGAGTGGCAACTCATTTCTCTCTCTCGATCTCTCGCCCAATCCTCCGGTATTCATTCCTTCTTCTCCGATGAACACTTCTAGTCCGAACTAGGTAATTACCTAAATTATCAATCCAGCCGTGTCACATTCCGAGCGATGGTCTGGCCTCGGATATGAAACTCTCGGCGCTCCACCGGAAGATCTGGCGCGTAGACGCCGTTTGGCGCCCCGCCGTTGGGATCCTCCCACGCATCGAAGCAGTCCCCGCTGAAAAAAAAAGAGAAAGAAAAAATGTGTTCAAACATGAATGAGGATGAGCAAGCCAAGACCCACCACCCCTTGCCGTCGCTAACGCACACGGAGAATGACTGGCCAACTGCCGCCGGCATCGCACCGTTGACCTTGTTTTTGGCCGCATCCTGGCATCCCAGGATCTTCTGCACGGCTGCCTTCAGTGCGTCGGGACTGTCCTGGTAGCCCTTGTTCGCAACGTAGATGCAACCTGGGAAGCGGTCAGAGTCGGAAATCCTATAGCGTAATACCCACAGTTCCCAGGGCTGCAGATTGGGTTCCACGCTTCGCCGACATTCAGGCCCGCGCTGTCCCGGTAGTGGCAAGTCCGTCTATACCGCCTGTTCAGTATGACAGTGACAGATCTGTATTGAAGGAAATTCACGAATAATCAAAGTTTTTCCACCCGGAGTTGACCAGTGTCTGGCAGTCGCTGAGGATAGCATCCCCGGCTACACCGCAGGTTGGCTTCAATTGGTCGTCGGCGGCCATGACTGTCGCGATCGGAACGAGGAAAGCTGCAAGGGCGATGATTTTGCAAACAACGAAAGTCATCATGCGTTCGTCACGGTGGTGGGCTTTGAAAGGTGGAGAGAGATTTAGATCAGAGCGTTAGTTGGTGTGCACTGCACAAGTCGTTTGGGGAAGTTGAGTGTCCTGCACTTGACTTACCGCACTATCGAACAAGTGGATCCTTTTATTGACGCAGGCAGAACAGCCACCTGAATTAGCTTGACGACCACAAACCAAACGAGAGCGACAGCAGGCCCCCGTTTCACAACTTTGGGGTGAGGACATGAATTGCCTTGAACACAGCAAACGAAAATATCGATTGTGGATTAAATTGGGTTTCTCGCGGCTTCGCGTGGAGCTGTAACCTATCCCTTCCACATCACGGGCGTTCTGCACATGCTGTGGGGAAGTGACATTACAGTTGTTTCCGAAAACCTCGAGATGCGCAGTTTCGTTTCCACGCCGAAGTTGGTCAAACGGATGTTCCCAAGTATACGCCTACCGCTAAAAATGTAATTAGATCAACGAACGCTATTTTCGGGTTGCAAACCAATTCAAAGTCGGATGTCTACGATCATCGACGAGTATTACAGCTGTTTCTGAAAACCTTGAGACGCGCAGTTTTTTTTCCCCTCTCACAACTTTTGATGAAATGATAAGGATGCCCATTTTGGGAAAGGGTCGGCCCAGACCTATGAGTCGGTCATTATGCGTGGGCGATACGGCTATCCAAGTTTGTAGCTTAGCATCATACTTAGATCTGTGATCCGATAAGTTCTCTCATCTTACCATGGTCTACCACAATGGAACAAAAGACATGCAGAAACGGAGGAAAATTTGCGGAAATCAAGCGGTAATCAAGGGTCTTGTGATTGGCCTGGGCTTCATCCTTGTCATTTCATCAAAAGTTGGGAGAGGGGGGAAAAAACTGCGCGTCTCAAGGTTTTCGGAAACAGCTGTAATACTCGTCAATGATCGTAGACATCCGCCTTTGAATTGGTTTGCAACCCGAAAATAGCGTCCGTTGATCTAATTACATTTTCAGCGTTACTGCTCCACCCCGTGGTAGGCGTATACTTGAGAACGTCCATTTGACCAACTTCCGCGTGGAAACGTAAATGTCCTAGTTTTATCCGGTCATATTCGCGCCCCTAATTGGTTCCACTTGCCACTTGCACCCCGCCTGGGCCCTGTTGCTGAACGTACAAAATCCCGAACATATTTCCAGTGGTATCCAATCTTCTTGCTTCCTACCATCTCCATGGCACAGGCCGGTGCCATAGCAGTTCTGGCGCCGACAATTATAATGTCCTTCCCGTCTTTGAGGCAAAGTCCCCTGCGACGAACACAATTATTATTTTCTTTGGCTCCACTTGACAATTTACGGCGCTGGATAAATAGCGCGGTGGTTCTTCCTAAGCTTCAAGTGCTGGTCATTTCATTACCCATCTCCTGCAAAATCCTCTGCGAGGCAACTTGTAACAACCGTACCCATCATGCAAATTATCCATCTTCTGCCAATCCTTTGCGCCATTGGCGCCACTTGGACTCTGGCCGCGCCAGCAAATGGTACCGATAACTTGCAGAAGAGACAAGAGCTCCCAAATCAGCCTAGGTGTGGGACAGCGGGCGACGCTATGTAAGCTGCCGACTTCAGTTTGGCCATTCTGACCTTCTGACAATGATTATTCCAGCCTCTCCGATTGCAGAGCCATGCTGTCCGCTCCGAGTTTGGCCTTGGACTATTCCCGGACCTGTACCGTCGGACTCGCAGAGAAGGCGTACAATCCGATATGCTCGTACGTCGGCATACAATTATCACTTATCCAGGCGATTGACCATGTTCCACCAACCTTCGCGGCAGGCCCGGGAATTGTAACTTGTGTTGAGCTTTTGATCGATCCTTAAGCTGATATGCTTCCAGGCTGTTTTTACACGACACGCAACGAAGTACCGGCATCCGAGGTGGTCAAGTACGGCAATATGCTCCTCGGGTGCGGGGACGCCGCTGTGAATAAGGTGAATGGACGAGTGTACGACGAGAACGACAACCAGTATTGTCTGTCGGACGGAAAGTAAGCCCGTGTCCCTGGCTCATGAATTTCGCTGATTATGGGCTTGCAGGGGCTGTAACGATTGTTTGTAAGTTCGGGCACGTCGATTCATCCTCGATTTCCTAACGTTACCTGTCAGCGAGGATTGATAGCGGCACTTGAATAAGAATATGCATTTTATACACAACTGTACTCGACTACCTCTGAACGACTTCGGTCCTTTACCAGCTCGGGGACCTTTTGGTGAACGCCCCGAACCCAAGTTGAACCCAGCGGCAATGTCCTCGACGCAGAGTGAAGGGGATCTGGTTCTCAGAACATTTGAGACGCGTCAATCTTTGCAGTATTCTGGCCCTAATTCCGAATGTCCCGACGCGAGGTGTAGTGCAATTTAATACTGTGCAAATCTCGCCTTTCGGGCCCTTGATCGGAAGAGTCCGGTGGCGACACACTCACGTATTACCAAGGCTTGCGGCCCGCTGATCCGTTCTTCCGTCTTGCTCTCTCTTAGGCTTCCGAGGTCGCTTCGCATGGCTGCTTCTTATTCACATCTGGTCGCATAATAAATTCCGTCCGCGGTCTCGCACATAACTCTAATTTCGTCGGTGGTCCTCGAACTTTCAACCCATTGGCGACTCGGCGACTCATGACCCGGAGGTAGGGGAGCAAAAACTGCATCCAGAATTTTGAACAGCTCGACCTCGAGTCGAACGGGGATCCCTGCTGATTCGATGCATGAATCAGTATCACATGGTACGCAGGTGTGGGCCATCCGCCACCGAGCCGATATTACCCTCTGGGTGGCCTGGGTAAACCGGTGAAGACATCAGAGAAGCCCGAATATTTGCGCACGAGAATGCAACAGGGGGTGCTCTTGGGGATTCGGATGAATAGAGGTCGGGCAGTATATAAGACAGCTAGAAGGCGAGAGTGAGGCGAAGGACTTCGCAGAGTAAAAGTGTCGACTTACAACACAGCAATGGCTCGACTCCGAGTCGAACGAGGGTCTCCTGCGCAGTTAACAGAACTCGCCACTCTACGGAATGCAAGTGCGGACCGTCCGCCATCGAGCCATTTTTCACTGTCCGCGTCCTAGGGAAAGAGCGAGTCCAAGACACGGATAAGCCCGGATATTTCCGCCGAGAATTCGTTTGAATGTGAGCCGGAGTGCCTCTGGGGAGGGTTGTGAAGGAAAAAGAGCGGGAGACGAAAGGGAAAAATGAAAAAGAAAGAACGGATGGCTCGACCCCGAGTCGAACGGGGGCTTTCTGCGTGGGACTGCGTGCCAGTTCTGCAATAAAAGCAGGTGCGGACCATCCGCCATCGAGCCATATTATCCTGCTCGCATCCTCGGTCAAGACGGAGCAGTCTGAACCCAGAGATCATGGGAGCGACAAGCCGGAATAATATCAGTTGCGGCGAGAACTAGGTTGGTTGCTCACGAAAGGCGAACGAACAAAAGGAGGAAAGACACTCGACCCAGACGAGGTCGCAGAGCAAGAACAAAAAAACGGCGGATCGGTTTGAATGGCTCGACCCCGAGTCGAACGGGGGTCTCCTGCGTAATTTTCAGATGACTTCCCCCGGAACGCAGGTGCGGGCCATCCGCCATCGAGCCGTTATTGTACTGTCGCGTCCTCGGTTAAGACCGAGCCACATAAGAGAATCCCGAGTATTCATATTTCCGCCCCAGGATTCGGTTGAATGCGACTGGGGGTCCTCTTGGATATGCGGGTGAGGAAAGGTAGGACATAAGGCAAGAGTGACGTGAAGAAAAGAAAACGTGGCAATTGGTCCCTGGTTTATGGAGCGCAGGCAGGGACCGTCCGCTATCGAGCCGTTCTGGTTCTGTCCGCGTCCTAGGTCAAGATGGAGACTCGTAAGCCAAGGTAGCCAGGACTTCCGCCGTACGGGGAAGGGAGCTGGGCTCCGAGTTGTAACCAGCCCAGAAGAGAGCGGTCTTCCTTTAATGCGCTCGAGGGTCTGACGCGTTGGTAACAAAATGCAAATTCAGATAGAGCATTGGAAAAAAAAGAGCAACTGAAAGCCCATGTATGGCTCGACCCCGAGTCGAACGAGGGTCTCCCGCGTGAGACTTGTGTGCCGATTCTGCACTGAAAGCAGGTGCGGACCACCCGCCATCGAGCCCATATTAGCCTCTCGGTGTCCCGGGTCAATACAGAGAAATCTGGACCCAGAGATCGGGAGAGCGACAAGCAGGGATAATATCAGTTGCGGGCGAGAAGCTTGGAGGAAGGCCTTGATTCGCTCGAGGGATAAATAGGTTGATTGCTCGGGACAGGAGAACGAGCAAACCCGGAAAGAAACCTGACCTACGAGTTCCAAAAAAAACTTCCAGCGGCAGGTCCACGCCACGGCTCGACCCCGAGTCGAACGGGGATCTCCTGCGTAATTCTTCGACAAATTTTCTACGGAACGCAGGTGCGTACCGTCCGCTATCGAGCCATATCATCCGGCTCGCGGCGTGAGCGAAGGCGGAAGAATCTCAGTGCAGAGGCGGAACACAGAGTAAAACCTCGACGCCGGAAGAATATTGATAGCGTGCGGGCGGGCGGGGAGCGCGTCCTTCATTTGGTCTGTGCAATCCGATGAGGACAGGCAAAAGAACCTGATCCGGAGGAGCTCGCAGAGCAATTTAAAAAGACAGGTACGGGGAAATCACGGCTCGACCCCGAGTCGAACGGGGATCTCCTGCATAAGTTCGCTCTCTCAGCTGTAGCAATACGAAACGCAAGTGCGGGCCATCCGGCATCGAGCCATATTATCCTGCTCCCAGGCTCAGTCAAGGTCCAGCGAAATGAGAGCGGGTGAGCCTCGAGAACAAGCGACAGCCGGATGGACATTCCCGGGGGAAGGCTAAGCCCGTACCATAGGAGCCGGGTGAAGACCGTAGTGGCCTGAGTGGAGATGCAAACGGAGCGAGGGGTCGAGGAGAGTAAAGGGGAACTTGGAAGCGGGAACTTGGAAGAGGGAGCGAGAGAACAGAACAGGATAGAACGGAACAGACTCGAATCCACTTCAATAGGACCGAATGAATTGAATCCAATGGAATAGAATCCAATCCAATAGACCCTAATGGAATCCAACAGACTCGAACAGAAGGAAACAGAACATTCAAATCCGATCGGATCCAATAGACTCGACCCAAAGAAAAACAGACATGTAAAATCGATTAATCAAACGGCGCGAAGGGTAAGAGTAAGAGTAAGAGTAAAAGTAAAAGGTAAAGTGAAAGCAGATACAACTGAGCAACAGGTTCGAGGATACATGCGTGTGTATGGTGTGTCCGCGTCACAGAGCGCGGCCTAACTAGACGGTCGCGGGCCATTAAAAACGTCTCCTCCTCGTCGACGGGACCTCGCCTCCCTCGCCCTCGGGGACCTCGAAGCCGTCCTAGAGAGAGTGGGTTAGCGTGTGCGAGGACAAGAGGAAGGGAATGGAGAAGGAGAAGGGAGAAGGGGAGGGGTGGAGGGTGGGGGAGCGGGGAGCGGGGGTGGATGCAGACGAATGAGGATCGTGAATGCAGAGGGAATAAAGGAGCGCGACAGTGGATGACAAGAACGTGGAGGATAGATGGGAAGGTACAGTCGATGCACGATGGTGCGAGGAAGGATGTGGACGGTCGGATTGGATGGGGGCCCGAAGAAATGAAGGACAGGCGGCGATGACGGGAGGGGAGTGCGGAGGGGCGAGTCGAGGGGTGACACAGGAATGAACGGCGCGGATGGATGGATGGGTGTGGAACGAATGGAGCAAGAAGATGGCGATGATGCGGGGAGGGATGCGGAAGAGCGGCGGATGGAGGGATGAATGGGATGGGATAAATGCAGAGCGGATGAAGGACAATCGACGCGCGACGACGCAAATGGGCGTGGTGATGGGGCGGATGGGATGGATGGGCAGAACGAATTAAGGAGGGAGGAGCGTCAAGCAATGGCGACATGCCGCAAGGGGCGATCGGGAGGAGCGCGGAAGGATGGATGGGGAGAACGAATAAAGGATAGATGAGTGGCGATACCGATGGTGTAATATGGAATGGGGAGGAGCGAAGGGAGGATGGCGCGAGGAGTGATATGGAGGAGCACGAATGGATTGGCGGGGAAAAGTAGATGGTGCACGGATGCGGAGCGCGATAACAGGTGGATATCGGATGGCGCGATGGCGCGATGAGATGGATGGGGACCGCGACGATGCGCGCGATCCCGCGATAAGGGACGGATCCGCGGTGGCACGAAGTGGACTGAGACGATACACTCACCTCTGTGCTATACAGAATCTTTTGTATATCGCGCAGCGTCACGTCGTCCTGCCCGCTCGCCTCCAACGTTTCCATCTTCTGCTGTACCAAAATCTCAATGTCGCGCAGCTGTCCGTGTCCCCCTTAGTAACCCAAAAGCTAGCAGCGGAGAGGAACAGACGAGGGACGCACCTTCTCAAAGTAAAAATCGCGCTCCTTCTCGAGGCCCTCGACGTGCGCGGAGAGCTCGCGGACCTGGCCGTGCAGCGCCTGCACGGCGGCGTCGCTCGCGCCGTGCCGCGGGCCGCCGACGGGCGTGCGCCCCCCCGCGCGCGGGGCGCCAGCGCCGGAGGACACCGCAGCGCGCGCGGGGGCAAGGGTTGCGGGCGGGTCGCCCGGCACGCCCTTGCGGCGCCCCACCGCGTCGTACTCGCCCCCGCCGTAGTTCGCGTCCCAGAACTTCTTCAGCCACTGTAGAAACTCGAGGTTGTCCCTGCCACCACTCATTAACCTCATCTCATCGCAGATACACGGATAGAGGACGTACTGCATCTTGCACTTGATGAGCCTCTCCACGGGGATCGGTTTGTCGATCTTCTTCGCCTTGAAGATGTTCTGCATGATCTTGTAGTTCGCCACATACTCGTACTCCTGCTTGGCCGCCATCTTCACGCGCGCCATGGGGACATCGAGGTAGATGCTGTCGAGGACCTGGAGGTACGCGCCGCCCGCGCCGCACTGCTCGACCTTGGTGTAGTTGAGCTGCAGGAGCTCGTTGAGCCACTGCAGGAGCTCCGTCCGCGAGGCGCCCGCCATCAGGATGCTGAGCGAGAAGAGGGAAGGGAGTGGTGGGCGGTGGCAGAAAAGACGTGTCACGTCACAGGTGTGTGACGCGGTGACTTGCTTTCTCTTCAATTCCGCTGTCGCCGCTTTGCTCTGTTTTTACTCGGGACACAGGACAATAAGAACGGCTTGATAGCGGACGGCTCACGCCCATGGATATCCCCTGCCGCCTGTCAGAGGGAAACCCCCGTCGACTCGGGGGCCGAGTCGGGGCCGAGCCTGGCGCTAAGCGGTGGCCATCATTTTTATCCGGCGAACTCCATCGCCTGAAGGTTTCCTCTGGCTTTGAATTTCCCCCTACTCGCTCACTCAAACCAGTAACCACCTGGATGGCCAGTCCTTCCTCAGCTCACGCGCAACCTATATTCTCGTCCCAAGTTCCAACTCCGCTTCCCCTCACCCTGCCTCTCTGTCGTCGTCCTCACCCGTGATATCTACCAGGAAGGAACGACTTGATCGCGGTCGGATCGCGCCTGCATTACTTACATAGGCCATTGGCTTGCCCGCAGGATCACCCGTTCGACTCGGGATCGAGCCTTAGCTTGAGAATGGTCATTTTTATTTCAAGTAGGCGGCAAGGCCAATTCTACTACTACTCTACTCCCACCCTTTTACTCTCCCGGTCCCGCTGTGATAATCTCGCTCGCAGCTCACCCACCAATGGCCCCACCTCAACTCTCCAGAGGAATATCTCCTTCTCGGTTCTCTATCCAAGGACCCCCAAGCTTAAAAACGGCTCGATATCGGTGGGACCGCACCTCCGAATTATTCCACTAAACCTGATAAGATAAATACGCAGAATCACCCGTTCGACTCGGGGTCGGGCCTTGACACCTGAATGGCGACGATTTTTTATATCCTTGGGGCATTCTTCTCCACCGTCCCACAACTTCCCTGCACGACAACCCGCTCGCAGCTCAAGCAGATTTCGTCCCGCATCACCCTGCCCCAGCAATATTCAAGTCCCGCCCTCCAATCCTCCGAAAGCCCTTCTAATGTCGCTCTGATGTACCCAACGACCATTCGAGCACACTATCGGCTCGATAGCGGTGGACCGCCCCTACACATCATCGGAGTGCAACGTTGCATCTGCAGGTTTCCCGTTCGACTCAGGATCGAGCCTTGCATGATGACGGGAGGACAACCTTTGTTTTCCTCGGTGCATTCTTCTCCACCGCCTGCACCTCATTCGGTATCCCCGTGCCGTGTATATCTTTGCTGTTCCCACCGTCACCCGCAGTACTCTCGCTCGCAGCTAGAGTTACGGTCTCCAATCCTATGACGCTGGATATTCCGCTCCCTTCTCTCCATGTACCATTTAAGCCTACTATCGGCTCGATGGCGGTCGGACCGCGCCTGTACCTCGTACCAAACCCAATTCGGTGCCGCAGGTCACCCGTTCGACTCGGGATTGAACCTTAGGCTGACCGGCCATGTCTTTTTCATTTTCCTGGCACATTCGTCTTCACCGCTCAAACTCGTCTCATGCTCCTCGTTCCCGTGTCTATCACTGCTACTCCCGCCTTGTATCTAACCTCGCTCCGAGCTCATCCGACCTCACCTGTCCGCGACGCTCCGTTCTAATATTCCCCTCTGATGCATCCAAGGTCAATTCCAGCATTGTATCGGCTCGATAGCGGTGGGACCGCACCTGCAAAATATGTGCTTTCATATTTGTATCGTATGCAACATTCCCCGTTCGACTCGGGATCGAGCCTTAGAGAGACACAATTCCTCACTTTTTGTCTGCTTCGTCTCGTCTCATTCTACCAACATCTTCTCTCCGTATATGGTTCATTCTCCCCCTCGGCTCAAAGGCATTTTGATTCCCCTGCTCTACGTACGACGACTCGGGCACTGCTGCATAAACATCGAGTCTCCCTCCAATACCACGGCGGGGGGCTCTCGATATTGCGCCATGTATACAAGGACCACTCAGGCTCAGTATCGGCTCGATGACGGATGGCCCGCGCCTGTACAACCTTGGAGTCGTTTGATGAAGTGCCACAGGTTTCTCGTTCGACTCGGGATCGAGCCTTGAGGCTCCATTAAGAGAATATTTTGACTTCCCTGGTGCAGTCTTTTCCACCGCTCAACCTCAACTCGCTCCTCTCTTCCCGTTATCTTCACCTCTTGCGCATTCCTTTAGCCTGTATCTGGGCAATACATATACCGCAGACCATCAAGCCTTGCCCTCCAATCCCTCCACGACCCACTCTCAATTTTTCCGCTTCCATCTCTCCAAAAACCAACCAAAGCCAGTATCGGCCCGATAGCGGTCGGAGCGCACCATGATGGGCAAGTAACTGGGATATGCAGGATCACCCGTTCGACTCGGGATCGAGCCTTAGCGCGACTCGGTATT